TAAAGAGAAGAGTGGGGGAAAAAAGAAGATATTAAAAGAAAGACTAAAAAGAAGAGTGGGGAAAAAAAGATGTTAAAAGAGTGGGAAAGAGAAGATATTAAAAGAATGACTAAAGAGAAGGTATTAAAAGAAAGACCAAAAAAGGAGATGGGAAGGAAGTTATGATAACAAAGAGAAAGGAAAGAAGAAAAGAAAATAAGGAGAGAAGGGACGGGAGAAAATAAAAAAAATAAGAGAATGGATGGGAGAAAAGACAATAATAAAAGACAGGAAGAAAAGAAAGGTGAAGAGTAGAGAGAAAACGAAGGAAAACAAAAAAGGAGGGAAAAGGACGTAAACAAAAGAAGAGATTCCAACGCAAGGTGTCCGTTTCGCCTCGCTTGACCTTGACTTTGACCTACAGACTGACATAAACTTCAGAACGCTCCAGAAATTGGCTTCTTGACTTAAATGTCCATTGGCACACATTTTCTTGCACATTCATCGGTCTAAGATAAAAAAAAAAAAATATTGAAGATCCAACAGCGATTTGGTATAAATGTTTTGTATTTCAGTCATGTTGATATCAAAGTTAATCATGTGTAAGCTGGAAGAAGAAATATAAATTAAATATATTTGTTTATAGAATCATCCCTAGAATCAAGACATTTGTGTGTGTGTGTGTGTGTGTGTGTGTGTGTGTGTGTGTGTGTGTGTGTGTGTGTGTGTGTGTGTGTGTGTGTGTGTGTGTGTTTGTGTCTGTAGTCTCCAATATTTGTGGACGAAGATAGTATTTTTTTCTGAATGAAGTAATACAATATGCTTGTATGTACAACTACATCAACCACTAACATAACATCTACCCATTATCCTCCTAACCATCATCACAATCACAACTACTGTCCACAATACCCGTACCTACCATAACTAATACCATTTCGAGGACCAAAAGCAGTACTATTACTACACTATTACCACAACTCCCCGCCGGGACCAGTGTAGCCAGACACAGTAATCAAATAATCCATCACGGACTTCACTAATTATGAAGAGGTAATATTGCCAATACTCGGAGTCATCTCTACCAGATCCTATAATCTGGCATCACTGTAATTAGTACTTATGACCACTGTGAGTGAGTGAATGTGTCTGTATATGTGTGTCTGACTGTGTTTCGGGCTTATGTGTTCGTGTGTGCGTATTTGTGGGTATGAGTGTGGGTATGAGTGTGCGTATTTGTGGGTATGTGTGTGCCTGTATCAGTGTTATGTCTGTATCCATCTGTGTGCGTTTCATGGAGCGTGTCTACGAGACAACTTCGAGATTTCTCTATCCAGTCATTATCTCCGACTGCTAACTTGTTGGGAGAAAAGCATACGTATGCTAAGTCTTAACACGCCGGTGTAGGTCAGTGAAACCATAGTGGAACCGGTTATTTATACAGATATAAATATATATCTAATATACATACATATATGCGCGCGCGTGTGTGTGTGTGTGTGTGTGTGTGTGTGTGTGTGTGTGTGTGTGTGTGTGTGTGTGTGTGTGTGTGTGTGTGTGTGTGTGTGTGTGTGTGTGTGGTGTGCGTGGTGTCTGTGGTGTGTGTGCGTGGTGTGGTGTGTGTGTGTGGTGTGGTGTGTATGGTGTGGTGTGTGTGTGTGGTGTGTGTGTGTGTGTGTGGTGTGTGGTATGTCTGTGTGGTGTGGTGTGTGTGTGAAGAAAAAATACCAAGGCGCACCCAAAAATATCTCTAAATTGTCATTACTGAACAAGAACAAGCGAATATTTCACACCTCATTGTTATGCTATTCTTGTTGACATTAATTTCGGTACGTGAATGCTGTTATAAAGAATAAGCGCGCATGACCGTAAACATTATTCAGCCAAAATAGCCATAATTAACGTAGTCATTAGCATACATGTTTTATCACCGCCGGCGTTATTACATAAACAACAATACGTTTCACAATAATGACCATGGTTTAGTAAAATGACCCAAACCAAAAATTATAATTTTCCAAAAGCCACTGGTCCTGCAATGGCTTAATTTTCCCGTTGTTTGTTTTCTTTTTTTTCTTTTCTTTGTTTTATTTATATTATAAAAGATGGAAGCGTAAGAGAAGAGAATGGGGGAAAGAAATGAAGACAGACGGGAGGGGGCGACGAAGGAAGGGTGGAAGAGGAGGAACGAGGAAGAAAAGGAATGAAAGAGAGGTCGACGAAGGAAATAAATAAATAATGGATAAAAATGGTGACGAAATAATGAAGCAAAAGAGCGGACAACGAAGGAAGGAAAGAAGGAAAGGAATAAAGAAAGAATAGAGACAGCGACGAAAAAAATAAAGTGGAACAGTAGGCGACGAAAAAAATAAAGTGGAACAGTAGGCGACGAAAGAAGGAAGTAAAGGAAACCTCGATGAACGAAAGATTAGAAAAAAAACAAAAAAAAACGAGAACGAGAGAAAACCATCTCTTTCCAGCAAGTGAAAGAACATTAGCAAAGAGAAAAGAAAAAAAAAAGAAGAAAAGAAAAAAAAATCTTCGGACACTAAAAAAACACCCTCGAGAAACCAGACTAGACACCGAGTAATAAATAC